CCCCCCTAAAAACCACCACTGATTGTGATTTATGGTGCATTATAATATTTTAAATTTAAATTTATTTTATTTTACATTTTAATCATCTTTTATTATGTTTATTTCGTATACTACAAATTAATATTTGTGTAAAATAATTAAAAATTAAAAACGAAAAAGTTAAAAAAAATATGTCATATCTAATTCTTTATATTTTATTAAAAATATTATCTATTATTGTTTATTTATTTAAATATAAATACAGTTATTCATTAATGGCCGATACATTGTAGTTATTTATTTAATATTACTAATATCTATAATTTGTTACATTGCAAGATTGGATGGTTTTATTGTTAATATATTATTATTTATAAATTTGGGATAAATAGATGAGTTGTGTACATATTTATTATTAATAAAAGGTAATGTGTGTGTATGCGTGTAAGCGATTCATTGCTAAGTAGGTATATCGCACTCATGGTAATGCAATTTGGTGTATTATTTTGTGTTGAGTCGTGTCATTTTTTGGGTGCAAAATAATACCTTTTGTCATTTAGTGATCACCCGCAATMATGTTACAAAAAAAGTAAAGCGTCCGCAAATGTGTTTCACCCGTTTTTTACTTATTTAAATGATTGTTATTGGTCACATATTAAACTAATGRACACGATTACAATTTTTCAAGTGCATTGCCGTGCAGGATAAACTCGTCTGTAGTTCTGTTCAATGAAAACGAATTTTTGGATTCAAGATGACAATAGCATTGYATACCTTAATTGAAAACTACGATAATTTATTTATGAACAAATTATTATGAATCTATTCCTTGTTTTTAGGTGCATTGTGGCGGATTTCAGATGCTTAACTATTACCCTAGCATTTCTTAACCGCATCGTAGCGAATAAATATAGAATGGCAAATAATTTTGTGCTTATGAGTCAATAATAAATAAATATTTTATTTTATTTTAGAACGGCTAGTAGATAATAGTTAAATAAAAAAAAAATGTAAATAATGTCTACTCAAATAATTTTACTAGATAAATATAGTATATATAATATTGCATAGGCGAATCTACAGAGTGTGCCTAGTGTGCAAGGCCAGTGCACACCCTGCGACTCGTATAAACTCGTATAAAYCTGTCATAAAAATTGGTTTTATCTTGGGTAATGGGTAGTATAATGCACAAAAGTTCAGAATTGCTCTTGTATAGATACCTACACTATTATACACCTACGTCAATAACACTTATCTACGTTTAGATAATATTGCATTTTTAAATTTTTTTGTAAAAAATGTGTAATTTTAATTCAATACCTACATCTTAAAAAAAATKTAATATCATGATAGAAARTTGATGATGATGTTTTTATTAAAATAAAAAATCTAATTTATAAGGATTWAGTTTAGAAAACCAAAAGTAATCATTAAAAGTGGTACTCATTATAGTAATATAATATAAATATATAATAACTTATTAATRTATTTATATAATTCATTTTATTAAAAAATTTTTCATTAGCTATATGCACATTTTTTAAAAACACTTTTCTAAATATTTGTTTTGAATTATATACTAAAATTAATCTCAGATGATCGAAAAGTGTATTTTCCATTTGTTGCATGACAATTAATAACTTCAGTTGCACATTACTATCTAGGCTCAAATTTAAGTCACCAAGAGCCAATACTTGAAACCTGTATGTGTACATTTCAACATTAAATTTAGATTTTGAATACGGTATGTTAGAAAATAAAAAAAAACTGAGATTAAGCTATAATCGGTTTCAAACCCTGTCAGAAGAGCTAAATTATTTTTTTACTGTATACATAGGTAAACAACAGGTTTTAATGTCAGTGTCCATAGACGCACGTTGTTGTAAAATACAATAATTTTCTTTTAAAACGTTTTCAAGCCACATCAAAATATCAAAATACATCTTCTATAATTTAAAATTCTCTTGGAAGGTAGGTTCTTGATTTATATTATAGTGAAGTAACTAAAATAAAAATTATGTTGCTTGGTCTCTGGTCTTGAATATTATAGAAATCGGCCCGTCTGGTTTGTTTATCAATAACGATTTACTATCCAACTTTGATCCCGCCCAAGTCATTTCAAAGTTTCTGACGATCTGAAACACGAACGATATATTTTGTACAGATGAGGTACCTACAATAACTATTGTTGATAAGGCTTTTATAATGCGCCTGTCTGTGATTCGTAAATATAACTTACTTTTATGAGCACGACCTGCAGGAATTGTTCAGACAAACGTCTCGCTATGCACGTCCTAGGTCCGTGGCCGAAAGGTAAAACCAAATATGGACTGACCGGCTCATATTTGGCACTGCCCTTTAGCCACCTCTCTGGCAAAAATTCATTGGGACGCCGGAAGTATTCTTCCAGACGGCAGCTCACCTGGTTTTGCGTGACGACAACCGTCTATAAATGTGAAAACAAAATTTTCAGTTTTTTATCACTTAATAAAAGCACCACCAATAATGGCTTAAATTTGGTTTTATTTMATATAATATAAAAAGGACATCACACACTAATTACAGTTCTTACGGAGTTGATCAATTTTAACAGGATATTACAAAAACAACTTAGCAAATAAATCATGCGCGTATACAAGGGTGGGGGGTTGATTTTCACGAATCTACATATTTTCTTGGTAGCTTTATCACATGTTTAGTAAGTACATGATACATTTCATAACGATTGTGATCAAATACAAACGTTTTTAAGTGCATATTGTGTGTATTTTTTCCAGAACATATTTTTAAATATTTGATGATTTTTTTAGTGCATAAAATTCCTTGCTCTTATATTGCAGTGCTATTGATCAAGTTCCTACAGTTTTCGTCCGAGTCCCGTATTAAAACATTTCTTGTTATTAGATGGACACCGATGACTGTGTAATGTGGTGACGTCCCAAATTATCATACTATATTTTATAAATTATAATATTGCTTTTCGCGTTTACTCCTGCCGGGACTCTATACCCCGAAAACACGCATTCTTCGGGCAGTATCCGGCCGACGCCTACTGATATTGGATTCATCCGGAACATCTCCTTGACAACCGCTTTAGCGTACACGGCCCGCTCCAACACCCCATCGGTGACCGGTGTATGGTTGTCCGGTAGCAGTGCCCGTGCTTCACCGAACATTTTTTCCTGAACTTTCGGGTTTGACGACAAATGATAAAGTCCGAAACAACAGGAATACGTCGCCTAGAACCGATAAACCTAAATCAGTACTCATTACTCACATAAATTTAGAACTGCATACATAATATTAAATACGCTCATAACCTATTAATAATAATAATGGTCGTATAAAACTCGTATTTCGCATTAATATAGTCTTAAAATAATTATGATGATTCAATGAAATTGACACAAAGTATAAAATTGTATATGATATAATTTTAACACTTTAAAAGCTGGATCGCAATATTATGGTTTGAAAATATTAAATGTTTATTATGATATTATTTTTCATATTGGATAAGGTGAATTTAATAATAATCATTTATCATATAAGGCTTGCATTAATACAAAACATAACAAGCACAGATTAAAAATAACGCTGTTATAAATGTATAAAAATAAATTTGTAATTCCCATTGTGGGCAAGTAAAATGAGACGTTATAAAAATCAATTAACAAAAGCATAAGTATATTAGATGGTTTTTACATTCGTTAGGGTCCGCCCATCTGCACTGCGATTTTTTCGCCGTAGATTCCAAATGGTTTTACAGTCGAGGTTTATACATTACTGTCTATGTTTTTAAATCGACTGAGCCATACTTTGTGGTATTTCGAACTCAACGGCGAAAATACCAAAGTGTGGCTGGGACCTTAATAACAATATTCTACAGGCGTAAGTAATTTTGAACAGTAATTTACTAATAATTTAATATTACCGTATCGATTCCAGCTAACAAAGTGTCAACAGTCATTCCAATTACGTCTTTGAAGTCCGTGTCGTTTGAGCTCAAGTATTCTCCCAACAATGATGTTTTGGAGTCTGTCGTTTTTATACTGTTTAATTTTTCATTTATAACTTTAAATGCTATTCTAAAAAAAAAAAAGATTACTCAAATATTTTTGATGATCAGAAAACATGTCGTTATTATCAWATGTAACATTGACATTATTTATTACCAATGTTAAGAAAATAATTAAAATTGAAGATAAGTTAACGAAATATTATAATATAATATGTAAATCGATTGAGCTACTAAACTCGTTAAATGGCATACTTTTCAATGTGTTCGTGTCCTTTTTGTATACTTTTATACATGGGGGTATCAAACTTTCTCCATAGTTGTGGTCCATTATCAGTCTTCAATATCGCACTGTTTATGTCATGAGCCGCTTTGATCAGTTTCGAAGATTCCGAATCTGAGTTCCATTCTTCGTCTTTGAATTGCTGTAGTCGTTCGTCGAAGGCGACATAGTACGTCACTGTTGACAGTGTTTGAATTTCATTTCAATAAGAATAATACACAGTTCCGTTGATATATTTTACCATACATAATTTTGAGATAAATAAAAGCTTACATTCTAGAAAGAGCCTGGATAGTTCGGGGCCGAAATCGTTTCTCCGATCTACGCATTTTATCCTCCGATCTATAAATTCTCCAACTACTGTGTTGGTACTATCCACATACCGTTTGATGCATTGAACTTTACTCAAATGTTTTTGGAATGCCTTTCTAAGTCTCCACCAATCTGAGCCATTTCTGAAATACGTTTACGCAATGTTCATAATTTATAAGTTCTAGTTGAACGTTTTTAAATATTCGTATAGTATTAACTCCCGATACAAAAAATGTTATCATTTTCAAYCACTGTTTGAAGACATATTGTGTACCTACATATTGTAAATAAGAAAATAGTTTGACCATACATCTCGATACAAGTAACAAGCGTATAACGAGTTCTGTTTTCAGATTTCATAATTTTCTTATGGTTTAATATACTATCGATTTAAAAATTTAAATATATCTTTCATAAATTCACTAAAAAATATGTTGCACCTCAAACTCGCAATAGACAACAAATTACGAGACATTAAACTTATTTTTTTTAATGTCATATCTCTTATGAGTAAAATAAAATAATATAATTCGATATTTATAATAATAGTAACTTATAATAACAGGTTGTTATGTAACAAATAAGTATTATTACTTACATTTAATTCCCAATTGCCATATAGATAATTAACCAAATAAATCATAGACTTACGTGGGCAAAAGTCCTCCAGTGTTGTACACATCAGGTTTACATAATCTGTATTTTTGTAATGCCAAATGACTGCGTCTTTCCGGGTACCTGCCTTCTTTTCGGTAAAGCGTCTCTATGTCTTCTGGTTTGAATATCCATACTATGGACACGCCGGGCACAATATCTTCTCGGACAACCGGCCCGTACTGACCGAATTTTGCCAACCCATTGTGATGTAACCGGTCAAATTTGTACTTACCGAATACAGGTAAGTATTGGTAAAGGGTACCGATCAAAGGCAGAGATATAGGTCCTGGGATTTCGCTAAATTCTTTTACAGCCGTCGTTTCCGTTGTCAAAAAACGTATTATTTGGAATGAAGTAGATTTCTAAAAAAATATAAACATAGGTACATTATATTTATCACTTTTTTTTTCTTTTGATACCTAAGAATTTATATTGCATAGTAAATAGGTATATAATTATTTTAATCTTATTCAGACAAATTGTTAAACGCATATTTTTAGGTAAAAGTTAAATCTACAGTGTCGAATGTAATAAAAATGTGTTGTATGTATTCGTCGATCCGATAAATTTGTCCGTTCAAATGATTTATCCATGTTTTGTTTACATTAGTAAATATTTTATATGTACATATTTTACCTATTTTTATTCTATCAATATTGCGATAAATAAAAATAATGTGATTATTGTGTATTAAAATCTATAAATTTTGACGCAATGTGTACGTGTAAACATATAAACGTGTCGACAAATAATATGTTTTAAAAACTTGTACGAAAATCTATTTTATATTTTAATTTTATCTCTCTCCTCAATTATTCCAATACTTAAAAACAACAAGTAGCAAAAATGAATTTTGACCTGCGGTTTCCAAGAATGAACAATGCATACCTCAAATTATTTATTCTGCATACGACAACAACGCTGAATGTCGATTACCGATGTCAGCGAAAACGTATCGTACTCAATCATATAAACATTATAAACGCATTTACGCGCTTTGTTATAATATTATTACGTCAAGGTGTGCAGTATGTTGCCTATGGTATCATTATAACTACCACCATTGATGTCATGTATTTGAAATTAATTAATTTTACACAAATGTTTTATATGAATTGTAGAAGAAAACACAATAATTAAAACGATAATACTAAGCACATTACCTGAAAAAAAAATATATATAATAGTAGATACATTAGGTCTGTTGGCCGTTGAACAACTTTGAACTAAGTATAAATAATTAATTTTAGTGTGAATAATGAGCCTATATGGTAAAATAGCCTATATGCTATCACCCAGCCAGTTTAATATCACTGGCACAACCGGTTAAATAACATAACTCGTTCAAGTTAGTATAATTAAATGTCATTAATAAATTTCAAATACTATTTTAGTGGAGCTCTTATAACTATAGGATGCATAATATTGAAACATTGATACTATTTATCTAATAACTTGCTTTGTTTAAAATGTATTCGTACCTATAATGTGCTACATCATAATATAAATTAATGATTATAATAATATTATGATATTTTTTTTTGTTATTATGATAATATATAATATTATATTATACTCCTATTATATGTAAGCATAAGATTGTGATGGGATAGAGAGTTCAACACTCTAGACTTGTATATAGTATTATACTTCTATAAATAAAGGTMATATTTAAAAAAATTGAGACTTAATACTGAAAAAACAGACATTATCAAAACAAAATAAAAATATAATTGATGATTTTAAATGCGGACTTTTATTGAGAGCTAGATAAATCTTTAAATAAAGAATTTCCACCAATAAACTAATGTTTTTCTATTCAATACCCCACAGATAAATATTTTCCTTATTACGGTTGACATTTATTGATTAGAATAGTTTAGACTTAGATGTACAAATAGACTTTAAAAAAATATTTTTTCGTTTACATATATGTCTTATTAAATCAAAAATTTGWTATRCATACTATAAAGTGTTAACATTTGTTATTCATTATATACTCACGCTGAAATGATTGACTGGTCTCATAATTGTATTTTAATGTTCCAGACTCCCGCACTTAACGCGTACCTAATACAGATAATTCTGAATTGTGGTTGCTCTAGCTAAATGGATAATACATTAAACATTTTTTTAATACCTAACAATGTAAAAATATTATTAACAGACTGAGTACCTAGGTGCGTCCGCCTCGAGAACTAACAACAGACTGACGACGAAATCAGAATACATTATAATACAATTATTATATGATGGCACACGCGCGAGTACAGTGCTGTCGTGATGCGCACGATAAAATAATCGTTTTACTTATAAATTATAATTATTGTTATAAGTTATTACAAATGATAATACGTTATTAGTAATAAAATTAAATAGGTAGAAAAAAGGTCCATTCAGAGAGTAATCTATCATATTTTCATATACAATATAAAATATATATTCATCGAACTACACAAAACGAGAAAAAATTCAACTGATGTATATGAGGAGGATTGACTCAATGTATAACAATTCTATCGAAATGTTTATAGACACAAAACAACATTTAAATATTTATATTTGTTATGTAATTTTTTGCCAGAAAGACCTGTGAAATTTGTAATCTATTTTATTTCGTATACAGTTTACAATACAAGTTTGGTTTCAATTAAAAATGGATTTCAAACAATAATTATTACATATAATACATAGCCGATAAAGATCTTACAAACTAGAAATAAATTTTGTTTAAACGGATGTTGTACCTGCATCCTGCATGTTTAGTCTCTGTTTTACATGTTATGATATTTAGTATAATATATATA